CCCCCCCAGCTCCCTGCCCCCTTACCGCGCTACCTGGAGCACCGGTGGCTGGCGGTGCGGCTGTGGCTGGAGCCAGCCACACCACCACGCAGCACAGGTCAGGCCCTGGCTCTGCAGCTGCGTTGCCCGACCGTGCAGAGCATTGTGACGGCGTCGCAGTGCACTGAGGCTGCGGGGGAGGGGGAACAGCAGGGGAGGGGCCGGGGGCTAGCCTCCCAGGCCAGGAGCTCAGAGGCCGGGCAGGACGGTCCTGCGGGCCGGATGTGGCCCATGGGCCGTAGTTTGCCCACCTCTGTTCTACATTCTATTTCACCCATTCATTGTAGTGGGGTTTCATAGGGCAGAATGTCACCATTTTTGTACAAAAATATATATTTGCCTTTCCATGCACAAAAGGCAATCATGTGCTTCAGTCTGAATAATTTATGTTTTAGATGAAGGGAATCAAGACAATAGGGGAGTCTCCATGAGAGAATACTTCCTCTGCAATGGGCTGCATTAACACTCCCTCACAAAATGGCAGCTGAATTTTAAGGTGCAGAGAAAACAGTCCTTGAGCTACATAAGCATAATACTGGTGTCTGTTTCCTTGAGATTCTCTCTTGTAGAGGTAATGTGTATGTGCCCGATTTAACAATGACAGCCAAATTCTAATATTGGATTTGTGTGTGCAGCTCTCACTGAAATGTGCACATGAATCTGGAGCCAGAATTTGGCCCTGGTTTTTCACCTGAGAATGGTCAAGCCTCTATAAGTCATGCAACATCCTGGCTGGGTAGATAAGGGCACCATTGATTGTAGTCCCCTCATTGCAGCTGGAAGATTTAACATCAAACCGTATGGTGCACTGAGGAAAAGCAGTGAAGAATACAATATAGAATTGAAAGATCGGGGGAAGTTAGCTGGGTGGAAGGTGATTGACACTGTTGGAATTTGGCCAGGACACCAGGGTTAGCATGCACCTACTTCAGAAATGTGCTGCCAAAATTGTGAGGGGGCTTCCTAAAAACCTCTCTGCTGTGGTTTCTCTTTTGCTCCCCTCCACCACATTTTTCTCTCTCTCCCACCATAAATCACCTTGCTTTCCCTACCTTCAGTTTAAGTCCCTGTGCCGTTGAATAGTCACTCACACCCACTGTGCTTCTCTCTCCCCTAACAAGAAACCACCAGCACCTCTTGGACACTCCTCTCAGCAGCTCCTGTACCCTGTGTGCTCTTTCTTGAGTTAGAATTGGTGGCAGATGGAGGGGGTGTCATCGTGTGGCCTCTGGATCTGTGATGATTGAGTGGGGAGTGGCTACTCTTGGCAGGGGAGGAGCAGGTCACTTTTTTGATTTTTTATGGGAAGGGGGTTGGATGGACAGTAGGTAACTTGTGGCCTGAGGGGTTGGAGTTTGAGTCCCTTCTGACCTGAAGGAGGGCAGCTGGGTGAAAAGAGGATCTCCTGTGGCCTGGAGGGGTAGATCCTATGCCTCTCAGGTGAGGTGTGCTGTGTCCCCTGAGGCCTGTGTTCAGGGGTCAGGTAAGAAGTAGGCTTCCTGAGTCCTGGGAGATGAAGTAATTGGTTGAGGGCTGCCCCCCTTGAGGCCTGGGGAGGGAAGAGAGTCAGTTAATCGGGATGTCTTCCCCACCTGACTTGTAGGGGGGCCCCGGTTGCAAATTCTGGGCTGAGTGGACAGGGAGGTTGGGAAAGAGAGGGAGGCTGCTGCAGGTGGTGCAGCTCAGCTCCAAGCTCCTAGATCAGTGTGGCTCATCAGTAGTGTGCACGGACAGGTAATGGCCCCTTATCGCTCTACTAGCACTGCTGTGTGTGTTTGAGGCTGGAGGCCTAGTTCTTCTTAGAGCAGTTACGATAAACAGTCATAGAAAGCTTACTTGTATCATGGAAGCTGAACAGCAACCAGCTTCAGCCAGGAACCTGAGGCATTTTAACAAGTAACTTGCACAGGTATCTGCAAGAAACTTCCTTTGGCTCTTTCAAAAAGGGCCATGCCATCATGCAATAGTGACGTCAGTGCTATGTTGCATCCAAAAAAGAGAAGCTCTAGAAGCAGAGAACCTCCTCCAGCCCTATGCTAGGGCTTTGGGTTAGCAGGAACTGTGTGTGAAGTGTGTCACATACTGTGTTTCTTCTAGGAGTTATTCAGAGTTCTCCAATCTAAGTATTGATCCAGCCTAACATGACAGATCTGAGAAGATCACAGCATAAAGTCTCATGGCTGGGGCCCTTATAAGTAGTTCAGGTTGGGGAGAAGTTAGACGCTTTAGCTGCTCCTGTAATTTTCCTCTGAGGAGATATTTTACTCCCCAGAGAGAAAGAGATCTTGTCATGGTTTCTGCAAAAATCCTAGTAATTTGTGGCCCCCCAAAAAACCAACCCAGAAATTTTGCAGAATGTTTAACCAACATCTGTGGTTGTCCCATGTAATTATGCAACAGACTTCGATAAGTGTGAATGCATAAGAAACACCCTTTATTTAAATATCACACACAGAGTACAATTTTTCTCAAGTGTTTCCTAGGAAATTCAGTAGTATATAAAAGGACTCCTTAATGGATGCACATTAATTTTCAGGAAGCTTAAAATCATATTTATTAAGGGATAAATCCAAGGGCTGGTCCCAATAGCCACACTGGTTCTGCTGCCAAGGGAACCTCTGCATGCTGTCAAATTCAGCCCTCTCCTCTGCAGGTGCAAGTGTGCAGCTGTTGAAGTCAATAGGACTCCACCTGCATGATGGGGTGCAGTCAGCTGTAGGATCAGAGTCTAAATTAGTAACAATAGTGCAATCAAAATCCACCAGAAACTAGCTGGCAGTAGACTGTAAATAGCCTTGTGCTAGAAGAGCTGGGATTTCATTGGTAAAAATGGGAAATTAATTCTTCAAAAATCAAAGACTGGACAAGTAAAATTTCCTAACTACTTTCCTTAGATATTTAGAGAATGTAATATTAAAATAACTTATACTGACTTGCCAGTAAGTAAATTTAAGTGCATTTTAGAGGTGGCCTCCAACCAAAACCTTGGATCTGAATACTGGATCTTCATACAAACTTCTCCCCCCCCCAAACTTTGTGACGCGGCACCCATCTCGAGTACACTTACACTCACATAGCCAGTAATAGTTAAGACGGGTATCCTTTGTATTAGGTTAGTTTGGCATTTCTGTGAAAAGCTATTGGTGACAGCAACATCTCATTATGACATGTAATTTTCTAGGTTATACTTCTGCAGCCGCGGGACAGCAGAATAATAATCTCTTGTGGTAACCTGGTAGGCTAGCTTTTTGGAGAACCTCAGGGCACATAATGTTAAAATAAGTACAAGTACTGCAAAAGTGATCAAAGCGAGGTCTCGCCAAAAGAAATCGAGGCATTTAATTGGGAGGGATTTCCTGCAGCTGTCCAGCTCATTCCCACTCAACTGGCTCAAAGGCTTCCTCTCATTGGAAGCTGGGGTTGCACAGATGACGTTAGCAATAGAAGATTCGGAGAAGTCCTCCAGCCAGAGTTTGAGATACAGAATGTCACAGTCACAATTCCAGGGATTGTCGGACACATTCACTTCCTCTAGGTTACGTAAGTTGTCAAATGCGCCAGCACGAACTGTGGTCATGCTGTTATTCTGTAGATAAAGTTTCCTGGTGCTGACAGAGAGGGCAGGCACTTCCTTCAGTCCCTTTGAGCTGCAGTCTACTAGCCAGCCCTTCATTTCTCCGAGTGGCTTACAGATACAGGACAGAGGGCAGATTTCCGCATGGACTAAACAGAACAGCATTAATGTAACAAATCCTGCAGCAGTGGGGATCTTCATGGTGGTTATATTTTCACTAAATAAAGGACAAAAACATATATATTTAAAAACAACTGATTAGTTATCAGGGTTCTAAATGTAAAGCTAGAATATAAAATTGTCCCCACTTCATCCTGCTTTAGAGTCAGCAGAAAATCTTGAGCTTCCCGGAAGACTTTTTTCATGCCCTACAGTTCCCATAATGCCATTCTGTCTTAACCTGATTAATACTAATACATTTATGAAAGAGTGTGGTGAGTCCTTGCCACTCTCACTTTGTGCTTTATTATACAAAATATTACTGCCAAAAGCTCTTGAATAGAGATGGCCCAAGTGGTGGCTAGATTCAGGTTAGTTTTAGGTTAGGGTTTTTGATTTAGGTTCAGGGCTAGGGTTTGAATTTGGTGTTGAAATCATGTGAGATTACAAATGCTGACTTTTGCCATCTTGAATGGTGTAAGTTGACTTTAAGAAGTTATCTCCAGAGATTTTTAGCTACATCCCATTTGGATCCTTTCTGTTATGGATCTGACCAGAATTGGTACATTAGGGCTGGGTTCTGGTGTGAGAATTTGAAGGGTGTGGATTAGAAGTTCTCTTTTTTTGGCCCATCACTACTCTTTTACATACTTTATGCATGAATTCATTGTTTTCAGAGTTTATTGTTTTAAGATGTAAAATGAATACAAAACTACAAATTGTGCTTATCTGTGCTCTGACATGGCTCAGAGCTCACTTTTTGGGGGATACCACCATCATGTCTTAGGTTGGCAGGTAGTTATCCCTTTGCTGTGACAGTCCCTGTTGTTTGGAGCTGGCTCCCGCCTAACATCCATCTTGGTCCCATCCATCCTCTCTTTACACATCCCCCAGTTTGTTTGTTTTTTTAAAGTATGGCCAATCAAGGGATCTAACTGGAATTTCAGATCCAAACTCCTTTGCACTGTTGGGGAAATCCAGATCCAAACTTTGTGTATTGGAACCATCTCTAATTATGACGATATTTCACCCCATAATTAGAACTTTTCTTTCCCCCTTCCTTCTATGTGGAAATCCACTGATTAAATGTGAGATTTCAAGAAAATAATTTTGATTGTATAGTGCTCTGATACTTATCTGGGGAGTGGGATGTGCTGTTAATAGGCGGCAGTTTTCTTCTTATTGTACACTCAGACTTCCCTGTCCCCTTTCTCCACCCCCACCCCCACCCCAAAAAAGAAGGTGAGATCTACTGTATTAGACTATAGAACTTACTTTGCAGGTGAACGTTGGAAGCCCAACACAAAAGCAATTTAAAACTAAAGTAGGCAAAGCATTGGAATTGGCAGACAAATAGAAATTATCTAATGGATTTATTCTATCTATCTCTAACCTCATGTTAGAGTGCCTTTTACATAAAAATAATATAGAATGGAAATTATACATATGTAAGTATAGAACTTGGACAGACTGTTCTTTGATATCTTAAAATGTGACCAGCCTTAATAACCCCAGTAGGAAAATGTCTCATTTGACAGGGTAAAAATTTAATTGATATTGCTTTCTTTCAGTAAACTTATTAAAGGCTGAGGTTGGATTGGTTTTGCTTTTAATAACTTTTTGCTTCAGAATCTAGAGAAGGTATCAGTTTCCTTTAAAGTAGCTTGCAATACAAATTATTAATTCAAAGATACTGAAGGCATGAATTCTGGTCAAGTCTTTAATTTTTGAACAAGAAATTATTTAGGTATCTACACGTGCCCAGATGTAGATACAGCACACTTTTATTTTCTTTTTTCTAAAATAGCTACAACAATCCAAAAGCCCCACATAATGAAAAGTGACCAGAGTGGGATGACAGACCTGCTTAAAACTCATCTTATCCATTCTGAAATATGGATATATTGGAAATATAAATAAGTCTAAATGCTGGTCCTGTTTTCTTAATGAAATCCTAGATTGATCACAGAGAGAGAGAGAGAAAGAGAGATCTAAATGCAACTAACGTGACAACCATACCACAGAAAAACAAGGGCATGAAAACCTTTCTTCTAAACTATAGTGAAAGCAACAAATATAAACAAAAGCCATTTGTTTCAATTTCCAGCTGATTTGAATACTGGGAAAAGACTTACAACCTTGGCGCTTTAAATCCAGGTAATGCTGCAATGCCAACTTTGACCTATTTAAGAAAATCTTTTGCTTTCATGAACTCGATAACCCAAAGTAGTTTTGAAACTCTTATATTGTCTAAGCAAACCAACCCCCCACAATTCTCTTTTAAACACTTGTAAGAAGCACACCCTGCTTAAAGGAGATTTCACATTTTACTAACTCTGTTTACAAATATGTGACTGAGACCTGTGTTTAAAAAATAATAGTACAGCCCAGGTAATTAGTTTCTCAAAATTAAGTGAGGCACCTCTTGATTTTTATCATAATTGTCCAGTGAAATACCATTTCCCTATAGCTTATGTGGGATTTCTTCTCCATAATACTATGAACTTCACCACAGAACAGCTGGAATATTAATTTTGACAATTTCTAATCTCTTCATAATCACAATTTAACCCTTTGGTGCTGAGTCTAAAGGCATGCCCTGCTGCAGCTTCAGGAATCCAGTAGCAGTTGATAACTTCTTAAAAGTGGCTACACCTTTTAATCACAACCTGATGTGTCAGTTTGTGGATAAAGATCTTTATCTAACTAAAAGCAGGGTGAGCAAAGCCTATGCTAGGGATCCTCTACCATGGTTTACTGAGTAAACACCAAGAAATGCCAAATCAAAAGGAAATGAGACCTGGGCAAGAGGATCAGGGAGAAAGGAATTGGTGAGCTGCATAGCTTGCTTACCTGTGTGTGTGTGTGTATATATATATATATATATATATTTGAGTGTTCGATCCTTTCCCTCGTTTGCGTAGTAAGGCTTTGAAGATCTGCAGTGCTGGATTAAACATAAGGTTGTCGGGTTTTAAAGATCTAGGCAGGAAATGAATGTAACAGATGACAAGCCTTCTGCCTCGTTTGTTAGGCAGCAATTCCTCTTGGGAAATGCGTAGAGTCAAGTAGCTCTTTGAGTTTTTTTTATTGTTTCAGCAGAAAAGAGAAGAATTTCATATTTTATTATGTTTTTGTTATTTAAATATTTTTCCTCTTTGAAAGGTGGCAGATTTCTTAAAATCCTGAAATGACTCACCTCCAGTCTGACAAATATTTCTTCATTAGAAGTAAAAACCTAGAGGTATAAAAGTCAGCTTGGACTTTATCAGTCACTGGGACAGGCAGGACAAGTGTTAAGTTCCAGAAACAGCTAAAGCTAGACCATAAGAGTTTTGGGGTTTTTTTTTCATCAAAGCTAAGAGTGTTTCCATTCAGCCCTTTCTGCTGAACTTGTACATTTTGTAAAATTAAATCTAAGCCACTTTAAGTTGACAATGTGTAAGAATAAAACATATATAAGGCAATGAAATACTCCAGCAAAAGTTACAGTGCCTGTCAGGTGAGGAGACTGGCCATGATTCTTTATTGCTTCATCCATCTTTTGGAAAAGCAAACCAATCACCACTGTTACAAAAAGTTACCCAGGTCCAAATTTTCAGCTCTGGCCTTCATTTAGTATCTTCTTTTCATGTGCACACAACTGATTGTACCCATAAAAGTGGACATGCAACCATTTTGTGGGCCAAAAACCTATTTGTGCATATAAACTGGGCATTTGGCTACCTACCGGTAGTTGCTCTATGTGTGCTAAATGGACATGTGGTCGTATTTGCACCATACACTCAGTTGCATGCACAAAGGTGGATGTGAAAAACACACAGGTTTGAGATTTGCCAAAACTGTGGTTCTGAATACTTAAACAGCTGAACTTATACTTTGCAATTCCTTCTTCACTCTTGTAAAGGAGGACCAATAGATATTATCACCCCCTGCACATTTGTTCTATACATTAACTGTAAATGTATGGATACACATTCAAGTTGGGAATTTTATAAATGATCAGTCATTGAGGACCTCAATTTTTAAAACTGCATGCCTGTATGTACATGTACAAAAGTGATTTTGTAAATTCATGGCTAATTTGCAAGTGCCATTATCCTAGTTATTCCTGCAACTCAGGTATTTGAACCCACAAATGGTCAGTTAGATGCATAAGTGGCTACATTTGCATATGCAGATGAATAGATCGTGCATGCAGTCTCTGTGACTGTATGCTCCAGTTAAACAGAAAATTGTGCAGAGTTCTAAAATTTGGGCACTGTATGTTTTTACCACAGACACAGAAAATAGAGATGTTCAGCAAGGGTACGTTGAACAATAGCAAATGTGCAATTATTGGGTGTGGGGGAGAGGGGTGTGTGTGCGTGTGTGTGTTTGCATGCATTATAGGTGGTGCTGGTAGCACCACATACTATTTTTTTGGAAACTTTTTTATTAAGGCAAAGTTCCGATAAAACATGAACATATTATATTGTACATTACTTATTCCTTATTCAGGATCAGGTTAATATTCAAAGAATTGCCTACAGATGCTGGATTGCTGTCAGGGGAACCCTACTTCTCTGAGTGCACTAAAAGAGGTTACCAAATTTTAAAATACCTATCCTCTTTTTTGGCACTTCTCTTTTGTGTATATTAGGGTTATCATATTGCAGTCCTGGAAAAAGATGACACTCCAAGGGGCCCCGCCCCCGCCCCAACTCCGCCTCTTCCCCACCCCCAGTCCTGCCCCAACTCCGCCCCTTCCCCAAAGTCCCCGCCCCAACTCCGCCCCCTCCCCACGGTAGGGGCAGGCAGGACAGGACCTGGTGGCGCCGAGGGCTGAACAGGCCCGGCAGGGCGGTGCGGGGGCTGCTGGAGCGGGAAGCTGGGGAAGGGGTGGCATGGCCTCAACCCCCTGGGGCTGCCTGCCCCGCAGAGGAAGCAGAGGGGCGCAAGCCGCAGCAGGACCCCAGCCCCCCGGGGGGGGGGGGGGATCTGGGGCCAGCCCGGGGAGGCAGGAGCAGCCCCGGGGGTGCTGGGCGCGTGCAGGGCAGAGCCCCGGGAGAACCCCAGCCCCGCGGCGGGCACTGCTGCAGAGGACCCCGTGCCCCGCGGCGGGCGAGGGGAGCCCCAGGCAGGGGGAGCCGGGCCGCCCACACCCACCTCTCGCAGCTGCTCCATGCTGCTCCCGGTACCGCTTTCCGCCAGTGCGGCTGCCCTGTCAGCCGCTTTTGGGTCTTTAAATAGCCATCTGGGGGGAAATCCCGGACATTTTTAGCTTTTTACAAATTCCCCCCGTACGGCTTTTTAAAGACCCAAAAGCCGGACATGTCCGGGGAAACCCAGACGTATAGTAACCCTAGTGTATATACTTGGTGTGAAAGCTTTTCCTTTACAAGGACAGTCCACATTTTACTATACCACAATTCAGAGGAGGAGGAGTCACATTATTCCAGTAATGTGCAATATTAAGTCTTGCTGCCAACAATAAATGAAGTAATTGTCATTCTGTTTAAAATGCAGATCCTTTACTGGAGCATTAAGTAATGAGGTCAGGGGATCTCTAGGAACCTGGTGTTTTGTCATAAGATGAATCTCTTTAATAATTTCCTGCCAATGCTGTCTAATTCCTGGATTCAACCACCACATGTGCAAGAATGTTCCCCTTTCCTCTCACCTCCTGCAATGAAGCTCCCCCCATAGCAAAAATATGATGGATCTTAACTGGAATCAGAAGGATGCCTGACATTTCTCATTTATGAGACCCTGTTTGCAGTTGTTTATAACTGTGC